AAACTATTTATCAGAGACCCCAGAGCAGTGAAAAAAAACAAAACAAAACACTGAGCTCTTTCTTTCTTTCTTTAGTTTGTCTTATTGAGAATTTTAGCTGTGATAAATTGGTAATCATCACTAGTTTCTAGATTTCATTATTAACTATTTGATGCTGTATGTTGGACTTTCTTTTTTAACTGGTGCCTTTCAATCAGCTTGAATAGCCACAGGCGAATTAGTCACAGATATATATACTTACATGCATGCACACACATATGATGGAGTGGAATAAGGCATGAAATAAACTTTATTATTGCTGATTTTTGTTTTGTATAATTGTAAACTTGTCTGAAAGGCTACTTTCTGCCAATATGATACTGAGATTTGGTGAATATAGGACAGGAAAAATGGATAGACACATAAACTATATCGTATTAGTTTCTGATAGTATTCCATAACTTTCTCCTGGCTATTTGAAGGAGTATGTGTCCATTTCACCTAAGGAGTAGTTGATGGTCAAATAAACACATTTCTCAACTCTTTTCTTCATATCACAGGATTAAGTTATTAGTTACTAGTGCTATTACTGAACTTCCTAAAGGCTAACAGTAAATATTGGAACGACCATTTTTCTCAATACTGTATATACTATTGTTTAAAAATAACTCCTTAGGCATATTGTAAGCACTTTGAGGACAGAGACGCAGTTGTGTTTATCTTTGTATTTTTGATTCCTGGCATATCACAGGAGCTCTGGTGGTACAGTGGCTAAAGCATTCAGCTGCTAACCAAAAGGTTGGCAGTTCAAATCCGCTAGCTTCTCTTGGGAGAAAGATGAGGCAGTCTGCTTCTTTAAAGATGTACAGCCCTGCTGCTCTGTTCTGTAGGGTGGCTGTGAGTCTGAATTGACTCCATGGTAATGTTTTTCTTTTCCTGGTAGATCATGGATTCTTAATATTTGATAAATTGAATATGCTTAATGAAAGATTGTTGAAAAAATTTATTAAATGTGTTCTGAGGAAGTGTTGCAGTGTACTTATTCTAAATATTAGCATTCTGTCTCTTTAAAGAGTATAAACTAATTCTAATAGTTTATAATTAGAAACTGACTATGAGAAAAATTGTCTACTTGCTTATTTGTTTATAAGACTTAGCTCCACAATGGTGCCAACTTACCACTGTGTGAGCTTCCTTGGGAAGGTCTAATTTTTTTTTTTTTAATTGTGATTTGGATGGAAATTTACAGAGCAAATTTATTTTCCATACAACAGTTTCATACACATTTTGGTCCATAACATTAATTGCAGGCCTCACAAAGCAACAGCCCTCCTCGCACTTCCTCCCTGTGGCTACCTTTTCCCATGGCCTTCATTCCTGTGCATTCCTCTCTCTGAGCTATCTCCCTGTGCAAATACTGCCCTTCTGATTTTTCATGATTGATTGTTCTAAGAAGTGTACCTACCTCATGTAAATGTTCACCTATATGCCTGTCTATTGTTTGGCTGGAAGCCACAGGAGTGAGTTCAATTCCGGGCCCAAAGGGTGACTAGAGGCCACCGTCTCAGGTTTCACCAGTCTTTCTCAGACAATAAGCCTAGTCTTTTTTATAATTTTGGGCTTTGTTCCAAATTTTTCTCCTACTCTATCTAGTATCTCCTACATTGATCCCTTCCTGAGTGATTAACAGTGGTACGTCTAAATTTTAAGGGAGAAAATGAAGGAAAATTATGATTAATTTACATTTTAAAAAATATGTAGGCAGAAGAGGAGCAGATTGATGGTGATTTAATAGTAGCATTGAAAGGGCATTGTTTGGAGTTGTCTACTATTCCTAAAAGAGCTGATGTGATAAATTTAAAGTCTAAATTCTAAAAAAGTCATTTAGGTCATTTAAGTTACTTGCCCTTGAATGAAGAGTAGCTAAAGCAAATGGAAGAATTGACAAGATAAAAGAGCTGAATGAAAGATTTCAAAGAGCAGCTCAAGAAGACAAAGTCAATTATTCTAATGAAATGTTCAAAGATAGGGAGTTGGAAATCCAAGAGGGAAAAACACACTTGGCATTTCTCAAACTGAAAGAACTGAAGAAAAAATTTAAGCCTTGAGTTTCAATATTGAAAGATTCTATCGGCAATATATTGAGTGATGCAGGAAACATCAAAAGAAGATGGAAGGAATACACAGAGTCATTGTACCAAAAAGAATTGGTCAATGTTCATTCATTTCAGGAGGTGGTATATGATCAAGAACCAATGGTATTGAAGGAAGAAGTCAAAGCTGCACTGAAGGAAGTGGTGAAAAACAAGCCTCCAGGAATTGACATAATAGCCATTGAGGTGTTTCAACAAACTGATGCCACTCTAGAGGCACTCACTTGGCTATGCCAAGAGATTTGGAAGACAGCTACCTGGCCAGCTGACTGGAAGAGATCCATATTTATACCCATTCCAAAGAAAGGTGACCCTGCAGAATGTGGAATTTATCAAACAATATCATTAATATTGCATGCAAGTAAAATCTTACTGAAGATAATTGAAAAATGGTTGCAGCCGAACTTCCAGAAATGCAGACTGGGTTCAGAAGAGTATGTGGAATGAGGGATATCATAGCTGATGTCAGATGGATCTTGGCTGAAAGCAAAGAATACCAGAAAGATGTTTATTTGTGTTTTATTGACTATGCAAAAGCATTTGATTATGTGGATCATAACAAATTATGGGTAACATTGAGAAAAATGGCAATTCCAGAACATGTAATTGTGCTCATGAGTAACCTATACATAGAACAGGAGGCTGTCATTTGAACAGAATAAGGGGACACTGCATGGTTTAAAATCAAGAAGAGAGTGCATCAGGGTTGTATCCTTTTACCATACTTAATTCAATCTGTATGTTGAGCATATAATCAGAGAAGCTGGACTATGTGAAGAATGTGGCATCAGGATTGGAAGAAGACTCATTAACAACCTGTGATATGCAGATGACACAACTTTGCTTGCTGAAAATGAGGATGACCTAAAGCATTTACTGATGAAGACTGAAGACTATAGTCTGCGATGTGGATTACACCTCAATATAAAGAAAACAAAAATCCTCACAAATGGACCGATAAGCAGCATCACAATAGATAGATAAAAGATTGAAGTTGTCAAAGACTTTATATTGCTTCATTCTATAATCAACACCAATGGAAGCGGCAGTAAGGATATCAGACAACATAAGCATTGGGCAAATCTGCTGCAAAAGACCTCTCTCAAGTGCTGACGAGCAAAGATACCTCCTTGAAGACTAAGGTGTGCCTGACACAAGCTATGGTATTTTCAGTTGCCTTATATGCATGTGAGAGCTGGACAATGAATAAGGACGACTGAAGAAGAGTCTATGCTTTTGAATTGTGGTGTTGGTGAAGAATGCTGAAAGTACCATGGACTGCTAAAAGAATGAAAAATTCTGTACTGGAAGAAGTACAGCCAGAATGCTCCTTGGAAGTGAGAATGACCAGACTTTGTCTCATCTACTTTGTCATATTGTAAGAAGAGACCATTCCCTGGAGAAAGATAATCATGTTTGGTAAAGTGGAGGGTCAATGAAAAAGGGGAAGGCCCTCGATGAGTTGGGTTGACAAGTGGCTGCAGCGATATGCTCAGGTATAGCAAGGATCATGGGGCTGGCATAGGACTGGGTGATGTTTCATTTTGCTGTACATAGGGTCGCTATACATAGGGTCACTATGAGTCAGAGAGGAACTCTAGTAGCAAAGTGTCTAAGGCATTTGACTGCTAACCAGAAGGCTGGCTGTTCAAACCCACCAGCCACTCCTCGGAAAGAAGGTTGGGCAATCTACTTCTGTAGTGATACCACCTCAGAAACCCAAGGAGGGTTCGCTATGAGTCGGGCCCGACTCCACGTTACATAACAACAACAACAACAACGTATGAGTCGGAGATGACTTGATGGCAACAAGTAGCAATGTCAGGTTACACTAAACTTTCTGTAAAGTTTGAGAGATTCTATAACCCATTGCCAACTTCAGTTGTTAATACTGTTTTCCTTACGTTTTTAAAGACTATGATAATTGTTAATCCTCTGGGATGATTTAGTCATATATCTTTATCCTCTTTGTAGAACAAATAGGATGAAATATAAACTTGATAAAATAGTGATACCAAGTCTTCCAACTCCCTTGAAAATCATATTCATTACTTGATTGACACATGTAGATGATTGTTCAAATGTTCTTCCAAAGTTTTAAGTTTGTGTTTATGGGATTCTTTGTGATATTACAAAATGTTTCCTGTTTTAACATTGGTAATAATGATTTTACTGTGAAATAGTGTGAAAATTCAGTAAGCATCTCTCTCTCTCTCTCTGTTTTTTAATGTATTATCTGTAAGCATGTATTATAATAGTCTAAATTACATTTAATTTTATGTTTTTTCTCCCTTGAAGTTTCAGACTCTGTGGCTCAATCTGTAGTTCAACATCTAAGATGGATAATGCAGAAAGATCTTTTGGGACAAGACATCTTTCTCATAGGACCACCTGGGCCTCTTCGGCGCTCTATTGCTATGCAGTACTTGGTGAGTATCAGTTCCTGTGAATTCTTGAGGATCTTAATTTTAATAAGATATGTTGTAAATAAATAAATTTAAGAAATTACAAAAATATCACTAATCATTACTTGAAAAAATATTAACCTCAAAGGATGATTTGTTTCTAAAGGGTTTGGAATAAGTTATTTTGGAAGCAAAGTTTTCTTGCACCTGGAAAGTCCTCCACTTCCAGTAGAATAGAAATATAAATTCAGGAAATAAGCAGCAGATTGAATCAGTAACTCTGAGATCATAAAAGAAAACTTAGTTCTTTACTACTCAGGCAGCTTTCTTTTTTCTCTGGGCCACATTTTAAAAAGCTTACCATTGTCTTGATTTTGTGGATGGCATGAAGTCTTTAAAGGGATACTAAGTTGTGCAGAGCACGTCTTACAGGTTAGAAGCACTTTTTCCTCTTCCTTCTCTTCCTCTTCCATCTCCTTCTCTTCTTCCCCTCTTCCCCCTTCTCCTTTCCACTCCTTCTTCTTCTTTCACCTTCTATAGATAAGAAGTTCAGAGAGATTCAATAACTCACTGAGCCTTTAGCTAGCTAGTAAATGATGGGGCAAGACTTCAAGTCCCATATTATTTCTCCTTTTTCACATATTATCCTCTTAAATGTTTGCAGATTTCTGGAATCTACTTTTAAGTAAATGGAAATGTTCAAATCTCAACCCAAGTAAAAAAATTTTCAAGATTTTTTACTCCTTTGTCAGCATTAATAGGTACTATTCTTAAGCTCTGCAAAAGGACTCTATCAAATGAAGTTGCTCTGTCTCAAAAATACTTTTTAAGATGAGGAGAAAAATTTTGCTTACGCCTTCCTTATGTTATTTTCAATTAAAGAGTTGATTTCTATGCTGTTGAAATTTATTTTATATACTCTTTTATTTCAGTGGGGAGTTTATTTTGGTACTTCAGAAATCATGTGGAGCAGGAATAATAAAAATACAATGGTCGTATTAGAACCTAACTCCCATTGTTATTGTTGTTATGTGCTGTCAGGTCGGAGCCCACTCATAGCGACCCCTCCTTGGGTTTCCAAGGCAGTATCACCATGGAAGTAGATTGCTCCATCTTCCTTCCAAGGAGTGGCTGGTGGGTTTGAAACGCCAGCCTTCTGGTTAGCAGTCAAGTGCCTTAGGCACTACACTACCAGTGCTCCATATCTTCTGTTTATTTCAAGAAACATTTGTGAGGTATAAAATGCTGTTGTAGTTTTATTCTCACTTATTAATACACCAAAGTAAGAGTGTCTTGTCTGAAAATAGAGTTAGCTACTAGAATCCCAAGTCTAGAATCCCAGGTCTAGAACCCCTTTAATTCTAAAATGTATACTTCCTACCATGCTGATGTCAGAGATCACACTGTCTCACTGAGTTTTTTTGACAAGGCTTTGACCTTTGTTGGAATGAGAGGGGCTAAGAGATTATCAAGGCCTATTGGTTAAAAAATGCAACATGTCTATAAGTGTGAAGACTGTATCTTTTAGAAAAACAAACTTTAAATTGTAAGCCACAACTTAAGCAAGTCAGCTGTGGAAATACTCAGGATAAGAACACTCTATACTCTAGAGCAGCTCGAGATGACAAAGTCAGTTATTATAATGTAATGTGCAAAGACCTGGAGTTGGAAAATCAGAAGGGAAGAACATGCTCAGCATTTCTGAAGCTGAAAGAACTGAGGAAAAATTTTAAGCCTTGAATTGCAATACTCAAAGATTCCGTGGGTAATATATTGAATGATGCAGGAACCATCAAAAGAAGATGCATGAAATATACAGAGTTACTATATAAAAACAAATTGATAGATGATCATCCATTTCAGGAGGTGGCATATGATCAAGAACTAGTGGTAATGAAGGAAGAAGTTGAAGCTGCATCGAAGAGATTGGTGAAAAACAAGGCTCTGGGAATTGACAGAATACCCACTGAAGTGTTTCAACAAACGGATGCTGCGCTGGAGGCACTAACTCATATATGACAAGAGATTTGGAAGACAGCTCTCTGGCCAACTGACTGGAAGAGATCCATATTTGTACCCATCTCAAAGAAAGGTGATCCTACAGACTATGGAAATTATCAAACAATATCATTAATATCACATGCAAGTAATATCTTACTGAAGATAATTCAAAAATGGTTTCAATAGTATATTGACAGAGAACTTCCAGAAATGCAAGCTGGTTTCAGAAGGGGACGTGGTGATAGGGATATCATAGCTAATATCAGATGGATTTTGGCTCAAACCAAAGAATACCAGAAAGATGTTTATTTGTGTTTCATTGACTATGCAAAGACATTTGATTGTGTGGATCACAACAGATTGTGGATAACACTGAGAAGGATGGAAATTCCAGAACACTTAATTGTACTCATGAGGAACCTGTACATAGACCAGGAGACTGTTGTTTGAACAAAACAAGGGGATGCTGCATGGTTTAAAATCAGGAAGGGAGTGCATTGAGGTTGTACCCTTTCACCATACTTATTTAATCTGTGCTGAGCAAATAATCCAAGAAGCTGGACTATATGAATAAGAATGTGGCATCAGGATTGGGGGAAGGCTCATTAACTACCTAAGAAATGCAGATGACACAACTTTGCTGAAAGTGAAAATGACTGGGGGCACTTACTGATGACAATTAAAGACTACAGTCTGCAGTATGGATTACATACACCTCAGTACAAAGAAAACAAAAATCCTCACAACTGGCCCAATAAGCAGCATCATGATAGATGGACAAAAGATTGAAGTTGTCAAAGACTTCATATTGCTTGTTTCTACAATCAGTGCCAATGGAAGCAGCAGTCAAGACATTAAAAGATGTATTGCATTGAGCAAATCTGTTGCAAAAGACCTCTTTCAAGTGCTGAAGAGCAAGGATGTCTCCTTGAAGACTAAGATGTGCCTGACCCAAGCCATGGTATTTTCAATTGCCTCATACGCATGTGAGAGCCGGACAATGAATAAGGAAGACTGAAGAAGCATTGATGCTTTCAAGTTGTGGTGTTGGCAAAGAATGCTGAAAGTACTGTGAACTGCTAAAAGAACTAACAAATCTATCTGGGAATAAGTGCAGCTGGAATGCTCCTTGGAAGCAAGAATGGCCAGACTTCATCTCATCTACTTATGTTGTCAGAAGGGACCATTCTCTGGAGAAGGATGCCATGCTTGGTAAAGTGGAGGATCAACGAAAAAGGAGAAGGCCCTCAACAAGATGGATTGACAGGGTGGCTGCAGCAATGGGCTCGAGAATAGTAGGGATTGTGAGGTTGGCATAGGACCAGGCAGTGCTTCATTCTGGTGTACTTAGAGTTGCTATGAATTGGAGATGTCTTGATAACACCTAACAACAACAGTACTCAAGAATAAGCTGCCTTGCACGACTCCAGTGAGTATAATGGCCGTTGGTATAAGATTCTTTGCCTAAGTAATGGCCAGAGTAGATAAGATCTTTGAAGGCAGAAATTTTGGGGCAAGTCTACTTAAGCATTGAGAAATTAAACAGAAACAGTTCGATGGTTGTTTTAATTTTTGTTTAATTCATGTAAAAGTAGTTTTGTAGATGGTTGAATGAATAAAAAGAAAAACTTCAACAGACCACTGCTGCCTCGTCCGTCTGCCAGCCCTTGTGCTTGTGCTTTGTGTGATTTTTCATTCCTCTTTTGTGAAGCAGCAGCTGACAGGCTGGATGAAGAGTCCACAGAAGCTGTCAAGATCATGATCACATTACTTTGAAGGTGGCAGTTCAGGGTGGTACCATGAGCAGTTTAACAGTGAGGGCTGTATGTTGCTTTGCTAACCAGAAGTCCATCAGGAGTGACATAGCTTTTCAGTGAGCCTCTGCTAACTAATGAAACAGGTGTGAGGTACTGTTGACATATTCCATAGACAGGAAGGAGATATCTGCTAAGAGGAGAACCTGCATATTTATGCCAACATTGTGCTCCCACAGATAATTCATTCTTGCTAAGAAAACTGTGGTGTGGTATCACAACATCTTCACTGTAGGTTTTCTTATTTTTTCTATTTTAAAATATTTCCTCCTTTCCATACATATTGGAAGTTATAGGTTCATGGGAATAGACAATTTTTAAGTAAATATTAATAATATATTTTTGTCAGTATCAAGGAGGGAGAGAACAGAGAAAAAAACAAACTCATTCTGGGAAAATATCCCTTTTCTCAATTAACGACATGCTTATTCAACATTTATCTTTATATACCAGTAAATTGATTTTCTCTCCTGTTTAATAAGAGCATATTATATACCTTATTTGATTGCACAATGCCATTGTTTCTAGTTCATCATCGTTGTTGTTGTTATGTGCTGTCGAGTCTGACCCGACTCATAGTCACCCCTCCTTGGGTTTTCGAGGCGATATCAGTATGGAAGTAGATTGCCCAACTTTCCTTCCGAGAAGTGGCTGGTGAGTTTGAACTGCCAGCCTTCTGGTTGGCACTCAAGTGCCTTAGGAACTATGCTATCAGAGCTCCTAATTCATCATTATAAAATGTAAATCAAGGATCATGTAAAAATCTTTTATACATGTAGGGCACAAGTCCACTACCTGCCTGTCATTTTGTCAAACTTTGGTAGCTTGTGTGTTACTATGATTTTGGAAGCTATGCCACTGGTATTTCAAATACCAGCATGATGAACAGATTTCAACAGAGCTTCCAGACTAATATGAACAAGGTAGAAAGACCTGTTGATATTCTGAAAATCAACCATTGGAACCCCCATAGATCACAACAGAATATTGTCTGATACGGTGCTAGATGATGAGCCCCTTACATTGGAAGGCACTCAAAATATACAGTGGCCTCACCAGTGGTCTCTAGCATAACAACAATCATGGTGATGTCACTGAACCAGGAAGTATGTCATTCTGTTGTGCATGAGTTGGAGCTGACTCAAAGACAACTAACAACAGAGCAAAAATCACTTTAAGGATGGATAAATTATTTCAAAAGAAATGGATTGTGAAAGATTTTCTCTTCAAATTAAATGATTTTTGGGGAAATGACTTCACATTCTCTTCTTTTTTTCTTATGAACAATACATTCTTATGTTTGTGATGGATGTGTCTCTCTCTTCTGTTGGCATCTGGCTGTTGGTATATACTGTTTTCATATTTGGTAGAAATACCAAAAAACCAAACCACTGCCATCAAGTTGTTTCTGACTCAGTGACCTCTCCTTGGGTTTCTGAGGTGGTATCTCTACAAAAGTAGATTGCCCCAATCTTCCTTTCAAGGAGTGGTTAGTGGGTTTGAATCACCAACCTAGGCACTTGGTTGGTTAATGAAATAATTTAACTTCAATAATTTTTCCTTAAAAAGATGAACACATTTCACAGAATCAGAATAAAAAGTTAAAAATGATGAACACCAGTTACAGAAATGGCTGTCATTGGTGAAAAAATCAAGTAGTAATATTTGAAAAGAATTCTTCATGAGACATAAGATTTTTAAGATCTAATTTTGATTATTATTACTTTAGTAATATTTAGTATAGTAGAAGGTAAGATCTGAGAAGTTACATACATATTAATGCTAAATTTATTCCACTTGTCACAAAGCTGAGACAGCAATTATTTTAATCCAGAATTACATTTTGAATGCCATTTTCTAGGGCAGTTGCATTGTTGGACGACTTGTGTGAGTCATATATTGGGGACTTGATTTTACTTTTGGAATAATTTCCCTCTTCCTCTACAGGAACTGACGAGAAGGGAGGTTGAGTACATTGCCCTGTCAAGGGACACCACGGAAACTGATCTCAAACAGCGTCGTGAGATCCGTGCTGGCACAGCTTTTTATATTGATCAGGCAAGTTCCTTTCACCCCCTGGCACTTGACATCAGGTCTGCAGGAAATTGATTGTAAAGTGGAAAGAGAGTAGTCATTTAATAATGAAAGCTAGATGTACTCTGCTCTCTCTGGACAGATTTAATTTAGTCATTTTGGTTTCCCTGTTCTTGGAAATGTCTTCTTTGTTTAGTCCTAAATGAGAAACTCTGGATGAACCTAATAGTTCTAAAATGTTAGCTCAAGATCAATATGATGATTTCTTAGTTTTCAGTTGTGTCCTACTTCTTGCCTGTAGAAATTTATTCTTTTTTCTACGACTTAGGAAAATTTTAATAATAGGTAAATGTGTGTTAAATGTAATGCCACTAAATACAATTTCCAGGAACTGTACCTTTTTGGAGGGGAGTGAGTTTTAGATAAAGATTACCAACTAAAACAGTATTTTATGAATATTTTGATGAAACTTATTATATATATTTTTCTACTTTGTTGCTTGAAGTATGGAATATTGGTATTAATTAGAACAACTAATAGAAAGAGGACTGAGATTCTAAATAAGCAGTTCATAGAGAAAAGATTTCCAATGTCCAATACCTTTGTGAAAGATACTTGACCTTCTTGGTTACAAAAATAAAAATTAAAACAGTAGTGAGCTGTCATTTGTCTTTCACTTATCAGATTGGCAAAGATTAAAAAATGTGCAAATATCCAGTGTTGACAAGGAAGAAGGGATGAGGAAACGGCATTAAAGTGATGTGAGGCTAATTGTGCCATTTTTGCAGAAAATTTGGAAGAAAATATTTCAAAAAGAAAAATTTACACAATACATTCGGACCCAGAAGTTAGGTTTTTAACAGTTTTTCCTTACAAATATGTTCACACAAAGTACACACATTATAATATAGGGATATTTATTGTAGCATTATTTAAAATTAAAGTATAAATGAAAACTGTAATGATTGACATTTAGGAGACTGACTAAGTAATAACATGTAGAAGACTCTAACTATTAAACAGAATGAAATAAATCTATATATACTGATAGGTAAAAAGGCTAGGATATATTAAGTGAGAAAAATGAAGTTACAAAATGGTAGATATAGTATGATCCCATTTTGTAATAAAAAGAAACAAGGGCGTAAATGTTTGTGTAAACATTGAAAATTTCCAGAACATACAAGAAACAGTTAAGAGAGATTACCTCTTTAGGAGTGTGAATTGTGGTTTGTAGTGGTGTGAGGAGGAGACTTGCATAGTTCTTTAACTTTGAAATTTTACTGTGAGTATTCCACTACTTTGTAATGAAAAGTGTATAATAGTATAAAATCACTGAGTGAAAGATTGAGGAACAGGACATTCATAATGGTTTCTATAAGATCACATGATTTCATAGATTGCTTATTAATTAGGAAAGGAAAAATGTTCTTAAAACCGAGATTTGACAGTTGCCACTTTCAATGACAATCAAGTTTAACAACATATAGCAGGAAAATCTGAGAATTTTAGATTTCCCACAGTTAAAGATTAACCCTTTGCAGATAAAGCACAGAAGGAGGTTTTATAACAATTTATTTTGTTCACACAGTGCCAAATGTTCAACTCATTGATTGGTTTTAATTACAGATGGGGGGAAATAGACCTTTACAATGGAAAAATGTGGCACTTGCCTCATTAACTAATTCATCAAACCTCTAGCCAAGTCATCAATAGTGGGACAAGTTTTCACAATTGTCTCCTGATGTGATTCAATAAGAGATAGATAGCACTACCAATGTAGTACTCTTGCCAGAAATGTTTAACATTAACAAACAGAAAAATCTAGAATGTGTGATATTCCATAAGACAACAGCTTGGATGGTTAAAAAATATTCAGTGTCATGGAAACCAAAAATAGGTACCAACTGTTTCAAACTAAGAGTTGGAGAAGAACAATGATTTAATGTTCTTTAGTGATAGAAACGGCGCCAGAGATCATATGATAGAATTCTGTAAGACCAGTGATTTATTCATCACAAATACTTTTTTTTCAACAACATCAACAACTATACACATGGGCCTTACTAGATGGATTACAGGAATCAAATTGACTGTATCTGTGAAGGAGACAATGGAGAAGCTCTGTATCATCAGTCAAGATAAATGCAGAGACCAACTGCAGAAGAGACCATCAGTTCCCATGTGTAAGTTCAAGCTGAAGCTGAAGAAAATCAAAGCAAGTCTACAAGAGCCAAAGTATGGCCTTGAATACATCCCACCTGATTTTAGAGACCATCACAAAAATAGATTTAACACAGTGAATATTTTTTAAAAATTTTTTATTTTTTTATTGTGATTTGGGTGAAGGTTTACAGAGCAAATTCACTTTCCATACAGCAGTTCACATACACTTTGTCTCTTGACATTGACCACAATTTACTACAATACAACAGCTCCCCTCCCACTTCCTCCCGATAGTTACCTCTTCCTTGTGTCCATTCCTCCATGTACTCCTTCTCCCTGAGCTGTCTCCCTGTGCATAAGCAGCCCTTC